CATACATACACACACACACATTATAGTTACACAGTTAAGAAAAATAAACACTAATAAAATTTAAGTCCAATAAATATTGATAGTATACAAGGCAATAAGTAACAAATGTTGTAATCATATTTAATCCATTGGATGCTACTGAATAAACTTTTTATGAAATCATCAAGAATCATTTATTTAAAGCAATACTTTGGATTTAAAAATATAGGAGAAAAATTGCAAAAGCTTCCAGGACCACAGACCCCCTCCTATCTGTGCCTGTGCCTATTCTTTCTGCTCTCTCTCTTCTGTTTCTGTGGATGACCTGTCTATGCTGCTGTGCACTTAGACGCAAACTCCCACATCCTCTCACTTCTGAAGATCTCTGTCCTCACTTCTCCCTCCTCTCTCCCACATAGTCAGCTTTACTTTCCTGTATCTTTTCCAGCAGTATGGTACATGCTATTATTTCTCCCATCACTAAAGAAAATTCTTTCATCCTCCTTTTCCTTCTGGCTGCTACCTCATTTTTCTACTCCTATGCATAGCAGATTTCTTTGAAAAAAAATTGCATTTACTGTCACCATTTTCTCATATCCCATTCTCTCTTGAACTTACACAGTTAGGCTTTTTCTCCTACCATGCCTACAAAACTGTGCTTATTGAGGTTACCAATAACTTCTGCTAGCTACTTCCCATGGTCAGTCTGCAATTATTATTTATCTGATTGTTCAGCAGCATATTAGATACATGATGACTCTGTCATCCTTGAAACACTTGACTCCAGCCTTAGGGCCTTTATGCTTGTTCCTTCTCCACCTTATGGTATTTGTTCAAATGTCAATCTCTCAGAGAAGCCATCCTGCCCAGCTTATTTAAAATCATAACTTCTTTCCTCCTAGACCACAGATTTCATTTTCTCTGCCTAGCAGTTATTACCATCTGTATACTACATGCTTTATCTTTTAAATTTTTTTCTCCATATAGAATTTAAAGTCAATGAGATCAGGGATTGATTTTTTTCTATGTTCATCAGCGAATCCCCAGTACCTAGAAAGGTGCAGGGCATATAGAAGTCACTCGGCAAATATTTGTTAAATTAATTAATTAATGAGCTTAGTGGTATATAGTTATTAGACAATCTTTCTACAACATTAGAAATTAAAAATTTTAATTGTATCATAATAAAGCTGTTGTCCTGTTGCTCATAGGTATGATGATTATGACTATGGGGAAGTTAACCAATTACTTGAACGAAGCCTGAAGGTTTACATTAAGACAGTAACCTGCTATCCTGAGAGAACTACGAAGCGCATGTATGATAGTTACTGGCGGCAGTTCAAACACTCAGAAAAGGTAAAATTTCATGACAAAGCATTATACCATAGACAGATATTCAGTATAATAAGTAATGATTATGAAAAATGATGCAAGTGCTGTACTAATAAATTTGTGCTTTTGAAATTGAAGTGGAATTATCTAGTAGCATTTTATGTTTTTAAATTCAGAGTTATTGACTATTAACTAAATTTTAGTTGTATGCTTTGTCTATCATAGTGTCTAAAGTAAATTTTAGCATCAGTCTGTGATAGAGTGTATCTTTCAAATAGTGTCTTTAATGTCTTTAAAATATGAGAAACTATCTACCATTCTAACTTTCAATAAAAACCAAACCTACTAATAAATTTTAGTGGTATAATTGTATCTTGACTCAGAAGCATATCCATTTAAAGATTCTTTAGCTAGCCATAAGAATTATTAAAACAATAGTTTATCATCTCAATTTAATAACTGGTATTTAAGTTATAGGTAGACCCTTATTTATTTTTTATTTATTTATATGCAGTGCTGAGAATCGAACCCAGTGCCTCACACATGCTAGGCAAGCACTCTACCACTGAGCTACATCCCAGCCCATATAATCCGGTATTTTGATAATATAATATAGGACCTTTTAGACAAATATGTTATTATATAAGAATATTTTTTTGCAGGAAATATATAGGAATCATATTTAAATTAAAACCTAATAAATGTTAAGGATTTTTAACCAACATAAAATATAAAAAGCTAGCTTTAAGTATTAGGCCTTTTAATCCTTAAATCCAAGAGTCTCATTTATATCTACACTTGAGAATAAGAAATATTTCTAGGGTTCCAACAGACACTAATTAGCTCTTATGACCTTGGCAAAGAAATGTTATGACCTCAGTATCTGACAGATTTTTTTGAAGTCTTAAAGCCAGTCATGCTCAGGTAATTGCCCATTTTATCTTCAGCATCTCTTGGTGGATCTTTATGCCCTGTTTATATGTTTGCAATAGCTTTTTCTCCTTTTCTAGATTCTATCTAGAAATTTTCTTTACTAATCGGGAAACTATATCCAACAATATATTCAACTGGTAGAAAGATATCAAAACATTATATTTCCTTATAGTACATTTTGAAAACTTGCATGTATTCATTTTAACTGTCAGCTGAGAAGTATTCCTAAAAGAAGTGCTTTTCACAATTTTACCTGAAAGACTCTAAGGAAACTATGCATAGCTAATAAATAACAGACACTACATAGAAAAAGTGTCCAGCATCAGAGTTTCACTTTAAAAGTAAATACTAGTAAAATTTTGAAAGAGCTTTTCATGGTGTGTGTGTGTTTGTGTGTGTATGTGTGTGTGTGTATAAACATATATATATGCATATATAATATGTACACACATAATATATATATATATAGATATATGATGTGAAAAATGTAGGGTTAATTTTTAGCCATGTCAAATTTTATGACTTAGAAGTATAATTTGTAGGAAAATTATAATTTATAAAAATTAGTTTTGTAATTGAAAAGGTTAATTGGATTTAAATAATGTATAGTCTTAACAAGATTATAGAATTTTATAGACATTATGGGTTGTTTTTACTACTTGCAGAACTATCTTTATAAATACACATTTGAATGTTACATTTGTATATGCATAGATATACCCAGGCATGTATGTTTGTATATAATCTCTATACACATAAAGAATGTTTGCAAATGTGATATGTGGGAAAAACCTTAAAGATTTTCCCTTTGGGTATTATGTTCACTAACCTGATAACATTTTCCTTTCTAGGTTCACGTAAATCTACTTTTAATGGAAGCGAGGATGCAAGCTGAACTGCTTTATGCCCTTCGGGCTATAACTCGGCATTTGACCTGAACCATTGACCAGGGAGAATGGCATGTGTGTAAAGACCTTTTCACATATGATTTACATCAGAAACTATTTGTGATATAGCATCAAAAATTATCCAATTCTGTAGTGTCAAAGATTAGTCGTTGGGTTTTTTTTTGTTGTTGTTGTTGTTGTTTTTCTTTTTCCGGCTGTAATGTGCAATGATGTGTTTTATTTTTCTTGATGCTTAACATTACTAACAATTGCAAAAATAATACTGAGGAGCACTACTTTGCATTGTTTATAATTGGATTTTTGGATACTGATCATAAATCATGAACCTAGTTTGTTAATGCTTAACTTCAATGCTTAGGGGTTTGTGTGTATGCATACATTTTTCTTTGCCCCTCATTTTTTTAAATAAGGAAAAGCGCTTACAATCTGGTCAAGCTAATTTTTTTCAGATATTGGAATTCAGCAAAGAATGACCTCCTCTGGCCATTCTAAAATTTTCATGTTGTGTCCTAAGTCTGGTGGAGGAAAAGCATGCGCTGTTGAACCAAGCTGCTCAATGGACACAAATTTGTGTCCCCAGGAAATTATTTGTCAGGCACTGTGTTTTTGTTTATTTGTTTGTTTGTTTTGGGGTTTGGTTTTTTTTTTTCCTGCTATTGGCGATAACGTGAAATGTGATACAGCCATTGTCCATAATTTAATGTGAAGTTAATCATGATGAATTCTATCGCATGCTACTGAAATGCCAAATTTAGCAATTTTCTTTCTCTTCTAAACCGGAATTTTCAGTTTTCCATATCAGATGTATATATGAAAAGCAGAATTATGCACAATCCTTCCTATCACTGACAGTACTTCTCAGTCACCTTAAATAATCAGTGCTCACAGTGCTGCTCACAGTTCTTTCAGTTGGCACATATAAAACTGTACCCACACAAGACTGACCAAAAATTTTCTTTGCACATTTTCCTTTCTTATAGTTTTTTCTATATTATGGTAAGCAAAAGAAGGTTACATGCCTATATTTTTCCAATTAGGTTTTTAGAAATTGTTTCCATGATTTTCTTCCTATAATAGATTAAACATATTATTCAAAGGTTAAAAATTATGTTTCTATGCATTAATGTGATTAAACAACAACAAAAAATGAGTGCAATATGTTCTAAGAAATACTCAACTTCCCCCTATTAAGTCACTGCAGAAGTGTCCTTTTAAACAGAGCCATAAAGAAATTTTGTGTAAATTTCTTTATTGAACTAGGCTTTTTTCAATTTTACCTTACTGGGGTTCAAAATGTTCTTTTCATAATGCCAAAGCATTTCTCTTCCCCAGAAAAAATCTCTTTGGACAACTGGTTAAAAAAAGATGTCAAGTCATAGGGGAGGAATAAGCAGCCAAAAAGTCACATTTTTGCATTGGTTTATGTTGCTTATTAGACTTTCTTCAGAGAGCACAACATTATGTGTTTATAGCTTTAATTTGTATTATGTTAATGAACCAGTGAAGTGCCTAAAGAGATGCTTACAACTATCCAGTAGGACACAACTGCACTGCTTAAACACTTTTTGGTTAATTAAGGGTGACTTGAATTTTACACATACATATTAGTTTTTAAAAAACATATTCATTTTTAATAGTAAATAATATAGCTAAAATTTTCCGTTATATTTCCCACAAAGATTTCAGTTTATATATACTTACTTATTATATAGGACCTACTTTTTTCTCTCACGAAAGGATCATGGGGTAGTGTTTTGTTAAATCACTTTCCCATTCCATTTGCCATCGTCCTTCTCTGGTACAGTACATTAAATTGCTTTGCTTTAGCTTTTGTTCCAGATAAGAAAACAAAGATGACTATACACCTGTTAACATATAAGATAGTTTGCATTTTTGGATTCCAGGATCTTATTTGAAATCTTCCATGTGAGGAAAAAAGTTACTAATATTTTTGAAGACAGGGTGGTTTATTTAAAGAGACTATTCAAAGAACTCACACCAGATCTCTTGTGTTTTGTTTATTTCATATACCATATGTTGATTTTCTTCAATATCAAATTATATAGATACATATTAGCTGCAAGGAAAGTATTTAGGAGAATAGCAAAACACAGATGGCAGCATAAATGTTCATTAGATTTCCCTTACCTTAGGATTTTCAAAGTTGAGGATATCTTTTATTCTTGTGTTTATTTTCTTTTTAGAATCTTTTCAAATAATAGCCCTATATTTTTGTGCAGGTGAATTGTATTACAGGAAGAAAAATGATTTTTGTGTATTGAATAGAAGGAGAAATTCTCACAGGACACCAGATGAGCTTTAGACCAAAAGGGGAAACAAAGTTTAAATAACTAAAATGGCCACTTAATTTTTCCTTTTTACTTTTTCTCCAGAAATATAAGTAGTTAGAGGTTGGGTTATAGAAATATTAGTGCCTTTAATAGATCTTTTTCCTAGCAAAGTTTCTTTTTAGCTCAAAATTGATCTGTCTTATTAATAATCAGGAAAATAAGTTGACTTGGAACTATAAACAGAAATAAGATAATATATTAATAAACCTCAATGAACCAGCCTAGAGGAACTGACTAGTGAAGGTGCCAAAACACCTGTTAGGATGCAGCATGCACAGCATTCCAGGCTTGGCTCCCATCTGACCAGGAGTTTGCTGTCCACTCTCTTTATCCAGTGCAAACTTGAAATTCTGATGCGGTTTTGCAGGGTGGTATTTTTTCAAAGTATTGAATTTACTATGTAGTAATTTATAGTGTAGTTTTTATATTAAAAATGTGATATTTTTAAAAAGAGATATCTGGTTCAATTGGTATAACGAAGTGATTATCTGATATGCTAATCTACATCTTGGGCTCACATTGTGCCAAACTTAAATGTGCAAATATATGTGAAAAAAAGCACATATGAATGTGAATTCTTTAATTACATGCTTATTATGTTAAAATCAGTCTAATAATCCACTCATGTGTGCTTGAGTAATATCTACTTTGGAATTCCAAGTTTTCCAGCTTTGATGGTAACTCTTAATTTTTCAGATCACCTTAGGAAATATTAAAATGCCCCCCTCCTCCACCCATGTGAAATTAAACCTGTTCTTTAACCCCTTGACTATGGAAAGGTCCAGGCATGTGCCTCAGAACCTTCAGGTTAGGTTTCCTCAGGTGGGCTTGTGACAATAAAAGGGAAATGGGTTTTAGAGATGGGACTGCTTCACCTTTATGAACTAAGTATATTGTCTCAATTTCAGGAAGAATTTGTCCCACATGGGCTACTCTTTAAATCAAAGTTGACAAACATGGAATCTGGGACAATTCCTTGGCTTTTAATTATGGTTTTAAACCCAAATAATGGCAGAGCAACACAGGGCTGTTTTTAGAACAGAAAACTCAAATGTAAAGTTTATTTAAAATATCATATAAAATTTGAACCAGAGCCCCTATTTTATTTGTGCTTTAATGTCTCCTAAAGACTTTAAATACATCTAAAATCTAATTAATATTAGTAGGGCAACTTTTTCCTTTCCCACATTATGAAGTTTTTTTTAATGAAATACTTAGATTTCTGTGCTGCAGCAAAATAAATTTATCAGCAAACAAAGATCTGAACTTAAAATAGTTCACCATTTTTAGTGGAGAGTGCATGCAAATATGGTGAGATTCTTTTTAAACACTAAAGACAATTCATCAGGGAAAATCACAAATTTCTGTGCATATGAGGCTTTTTGTTTTGTGTTATATTGCTTTAAAAAGAATTATATATAATTTTTCTAAAAAGCAAGAGTTTAAATTATTCTTTTTATCTCATAGGTCTTGTTCATCTTAAATGCAAAGAAATGGTCTTACATGGAGTAAAAAGCACACAATAGTAATGCTGTACAAATAGCATAGTTCAACACCAAACTGAAAGACATGTGATTACTCTGCTCTCTGTTCAAATCAAGTTTTTTGCTTTTTTAAACATTTTTTTATTACTGGGGATTGAACCATTGACTTGCACATGCTAGACAAGTATCCTATCATGAAGCTACATCCCTAGCCCTAGATTAAAGGTTTTGATCTTGGATTTTTGTTTTTTTTATTTTTGTGATGCTGGGGATTGAACCCAGCACCTCATATATGGCTAGGCAAGCACGCTGTTGCTGAGCCACACACCCCAGATTGAGTTTGAAATTATGTAATTTGTATAATCAGAACCCATTCTAGGTGGCCATCATCCTAAACTGTGTTTCCCTAATATACCCGTGTGGAGACTGAGAATCAAATTAAGTAGTCTTTCCTCAAAGCAGTACTGTAACCTGAATGTATTTATCTCAGTCAACAGAATTTAAATGCCCACTGTATGTGGAGCTTACTTCAGTGCTAATTTGGCATAGTCAGCAGTATCTGCTCAGGTGATACCTAGAACAAAAATAGCCGGGGCAAAGTAGATTATGAGGTAGAGGTATATGTCGAGGCAGAACCCTGTGAGGAATGAATTGCTTTCAAAGATCACATGGAACATAAAGCTGACACTGTGGCTGTCCTCAGTGTTGTGTACCTAATACAAAGGAAACATTTCCCACATGGAGCTCCTACCTGCTAAGCCCACCCTTTCCTGCCTGCTTTCTCATCCTCCAAGTGCCTCAACCTCTGTACATGCACTCTGCTCCCCTTTCCTCAGCCTTTCTTGGTCTGAATGCCTTTCACAATCCAAACCAAACATCACCAGCCACCTGCTGATAGTCACCAGCATTTACTTTTCTGAGTTACTTTTCTTCATTCATTAAGAAAATGGCTGTGTCTCAGTTCCCTCTAAATCCCTCATCCATCCATCTATATATACTTGGGCCAACTTTTGCCCTAGATGCCCTACCAGATGTTATGCAGCATCAAGTGTAATCTTGTCCACCCTGTACTGTTTCTACCCTTTTCCCAGCTGCCAAAATATCTTGCTCTCCTCTACCTCATCCCCAAAGAGCCTATAAATTTAGAGTATCCAACCTTTTCATGGGTTCACTCTCTGTTGTTCAGTAATACTACTTCCATATTTTAAATAAATCATAAAAGACTTTTGCCTTCTATCAGAGTAGGAATCTTTATATTTATACATGATACAGAAATTGAACTATTTCTACCATGCAGAATTTAGCATTTAGCAGGATTTTAAA